GCTACTTGCTGGCAGTAAGCCATTTCTCTCTGCAGTCTGCTCAGCTTGGCGTTCATTACGTGATCTCGGTCGCCGCTGTGATGGCGTGTGGCTGTGATGTACTTGTCGAAATCCGACTGGATGGTTTCGATGAGAGAGAGGATTTGCTCTGCCCCAGCGTTGTTTGGCAACTGATTTTGATAGGACAATTTAATATCAACAGTCAATCAATCAATCAATCAATCAATCAATCTCTTCAACACATCAATCGATTAGCTAATGACCAATCAATCAGCCAATGACCAATCAATCAGCCAATGACAATTCAATCGACCAATGACCAATCAATCAGCCAATCAATCAGCAAGTGGCCAATCAATCAGCCAAAGAACCACAAACCAACAGATCGATCAACCAACGAACCTGATAACTGTCCCACGACCTAACAAACTGCACAGTTGAAAGCAGGGAGACGTAACGAAGGTGAAGGTCGAGAGGGGAACATGTTGACGTCATATCACTTATGTCTGATAGTAAGCTGCAGGAACGAACGAACGAACGAATGAATGGAATGAATGAATGAACGAACGAACGAACGAACGAATGAATGAATGAATGAATGAATGAATGAATGAATGAATGAATGAATAAATGAATGAATGAATGAATGAATGAATGAATGAATGAATGAATGAATGAATGAATGAATGAATGGATAAAAGATCGGAAGAATTGTAAATAAATACACAATTGAATAAATTTTTCCCTCTATTCATCCAACCTATCAACAGAGTCCATGATATTACTGCAGGCGGGATTGACCTGGAAACAAATGTTCGGTGCCCTGGTTTCCTGACCCGACCTACTTCTGACGACCCATATTCCCGTGTTCTCATTGGCCGACTTCACATCCAATGAGTAGTTGTCATTTCGATTCAATTGATTCTGAAAATTCGATCGATTCCATCTCACATTATCGTCAAAAAAAAAATAAAATAATGTTATGGAATGATTATACTTAAAAATAATGAAAAAAACTTACTCCATTTCTAGAAAATGTACAGAGACTTCTGACGGAAGGAGATGAAGATGACGAGGAGGTCAGCTGGGTTCGCATTGTGACGGGGCACAGTTGGTTGCCCTGGTTACGGAGAACGCACCCTCTCTCGTATAGTTCTTTCAAACTTAGTTCCACTTTCTAGAGAATGAAGAGTAAGTAACATCCATCTCTTCAGACGTCCTAATCATCGTCGTCATCATCGTCATCCTCATCATCGTCGTCATCCTCATCGTCGTCGTCATCATCGTCATCCTCATCATCGTCATCATTATAAAAGGACCATCGTCTCATCGCCACAAATAACCTGCAATTTGACGAGCAGCTGATCGGCCTCCTGCTGTGACATCACATCTTCATCCTCTTCGTTGACGTCACCGTCTACATCCTGACCTCGATTGATTGCCATGGTGATTGAGGTCAAGGACTTCTGCTGCTGCAAGGTCAACCTTCTCAGCTGGTCCAGGCTGTTGTACAGGTTGTCATGCTGCTCAGCTGTTGTGCCGTGTACCTATCGAATGATAACGACGACGACGACGATGATAATGATGGCTAAGAAAAATAATAAAATTGAAGAAATCCCCACCACAACAAGCGCAAGCAATACATAGCACCTGCATGCAATGATCCACCATCTCATGAAGCAGAGCCCAGCTGTTAGTGACGTCAATAAGCAGCTGCTTGACCACAGCTAATGCTGGATGTCTGCTACTTATCAGCTGCTGCTGCATGCTCACTGCTTCATTCACAGCTGGCTCCAGCTCCTTTAGCTGTCTTCTGTGTTTCTGTGAATGATGGAATAAATGGATGGATAGGTGAGTGCATGAACGAATAAATGAATGAATAAATGAATAAATAAACAAACGAATGAATGAGTGTATAAATGTATAGAAAGAATATTTATCAATAAATAAATAAGCGAAACAATTGCTAATATAGAAACCTGTTGCAAGTTGTCAATGAATGCAACGGCCATCGTCTGCATATTCCAGGGGTGGGAGCAGATGTCCCTTTCCTGTTCCTGAAGCTTCCCGGCAAGGATGCAAACTTTCTCGCCGTAATCGAGCAGCGATCCAGAATTCTTGAGTGAGTTCAACGAAGATGTCTGCATTGGAAGGGAGAAGTGTTAAATTCAATTGTTGAAACTTTAATTTCACGACATGTCTTCAAACGCTGCCTAATCACCGACAGCATGACATAAATTTAATTACATGCATCTCTACACGTCATCAACAACAACGTCATCATCGTCATCATCAGTCACCAACGTCATCACCAACGTCACCGTCAACAGTCGGCGCATGACGAACGTTTAAATAGGAGTAAGACAGTTCCAGTTTCGAAAGTTCTTCATTTAGTTTTCTAGAAACTTCTGTTCTCTTCATGGCTTTCTAAATAGTAATAATAATAATAACAATAATAATAATAATAACAATAATAACAATAATAATAATAATAACAATAATAATAATAATAACAATAATAATAATAATAATAATAATAATAACAGCAATAATAAAATAATTATAGTTATCGAATAATATTAATAATATTACTTTTTCGTTGAAGAGTTTATCGACATGACCCTTATAATTTTCAATTTCTCCCCTCGTCCTCACCCTTTCACCGTGATTCCTCCTTATCTCACCGATGTCGCGGCCGTAACTCAAGTCGTCTAACTCGATCTAATGAATGATTAATTAGAACATTAATTAGACAGTAATTAATTGAATAATTAATTTAAAAAAGACTTAAGAATTAACGCTATTGTATACGAATTTTTAACAAACGTGATTCAACAAATAAATAATTTTTATGTAAAATTTCCGATCAGCATAACTAAATAGACAATGCTGTCAATCATAGCCAAAAAGCCAACCAATGGAAATAGCTACCTGCTTATTATGCACCCACTGATTAGCCAATAAGATTTCTTGCAGCAACTGCTCCGACAAATCAGAGTCATCTATCTTAGGCGGCCTGATCTGATTGGGCGCCACTTCCGGAGTTAAAGATTGAGACGATGCTGGTAATGATGACGATGTGGTCGGTGACGGTAATGATGATGACGACGACGGTGGCGGTGATGATACTGATGGTGGGGTAGAGGAAGAGGATAGTAACGGTAAATATTCGTTTTGTAGTCGGTCGAGTAGCTGCTGCTGTTCCGATTGAAGCTGATGTAGCCTGTTTAACAAACACAAAATCAACAATAGTAATATTAATAATAATAATAGTGATAGCAGTAATAATAATATAATAGCAATAATAATAAAAGTAATAATAAAAACACAGCTGACCGAATCAACAACGAATCGCCGCCGCAACAGCCGCCAAGCCCGTCCACGTCGGCCACCACACTCCTCAGGGCAGACCCCAGTGACGTCACAGATCTAAAAATAGAATCGAACGTGTGCTTAGCTATCAGCTGAGAGCCAGACTGCAACGGTAACGATAATTTCAGCCTGTCTAATTCCTGTAAATGAGTTATTAATCAATCAATTAAATAATTAATCAATTAATTAAATAATTTATTATCTAAAAATGATTTTAATGAGATAATTAGTTTAATATTTATCCTTGCAATAATTACCTGATCGTATTTTCGTTTCAAGCTCGATAGATTCTTCTCGTGTGATTGGATGTCTCTCATCAGCTTGTCTGCCAACCTTTGCAATCTCTCCAATCTGATTGGTCAGACATAAATTAATTATTAATAATATTGCCCTATTTAATATTCATAGCTATATAAATGTCCTTATTAATATTAATATCTACAAACACACACAAACACACTTATCAATATTTATGAATACACAAACGAGATTGTAACCAGCAGAAAAAAATGAAACATTTAATTTATTCATACGACCTTGACATTTCAGTGTGCAAGGCAGTGTCTCGCTCTTGCTGAGTGGCTGCAAACTCCGCCCACAATCTGTTGATATTTTCGATGTGTAGTGGGTTTTCCCTGGACATAAAATCCCGAGAACCTATACATAGTAACTGTAGAAGAGGATAACGGACATGATTGTGACATGACGGTTATTACGACATGTTGATAATAATAATAACAATTATAATTATAAAAATTATAGTAATAATAATAATAATAATTATGACCCACCATAATTTCGTCAAACAAGTTCAGCAGCCTCTGCTTTTTTCTCACCATGTTTCCAACATCTTCAGAACGAAATCTATTAAACTCGCTCACCATTGCCTTCACATAATGAAGATGATGGTGACGAGGGTGATGAAAATAACGAATGACGGTGATAATAACGACAATGAGAATGATGATAAAAATAAAATAGCGAGTTAGCTCAGATGGTAGAACGTCATGTTTTTGAGGATGTTCTTACGCGCTGAAGTGATTCGAATGCTTCCTACGCGCTAAACTCCAACGATCGTACGTGTGTTTGATACTATTTTTATGTCATTCGTGTAGTGTTGATATTACTGCAGCGTTCAACAATTTTGTGTTAAGTATTGATAAAACATTTGATAGTTTAACATTCTTATTGCATAATTCAGAAACTGAAACTGAAATCAAAGAACAAACTTTGACGGCGGCAAGTGTGTTGGGAAATTCCCTGGATAGCATGCTGCTATTGGCTTCTCTGATCAGCTGACTCAAGTGAACAGCTGAGTCATGGTACTCCTCTATCTTCAATCTTCTTTCCTGGAGTGATGTTGATGATTATGATGACGAAGATGACGATGATACTACGATGAAGACCATGATGATACTATTATAAAGACGATGATACTATTATGAAGACGATGCGGATATTATTATGAAGACGATGATACTACGATGAAGATCATGATGATACTATAATGAAGACGATGATATCACGATAAAGACCATGATGATACTGTGCCAGAATAGCGATGCTAAGAATGGCGATATAATGATAATGACGACATAGTAGCGATGCCAAAAATATCACATAAGATGTCAGTTATTAAAATAAAAGTTAAAATAACGATAATAACAAAGATGACGATGACGACGACGACGATGATGACTAACATTTTCCCTGGCAGATCTTTCCCCAGTGGTTGAATCTGGGAAAAGCTCGTACAGGAATGATACGTAAGTGATGATGGATCGTTCATCGGGGTCATCCACGTCCACGTCTTCAAATAAAATAGGTCATGTTGAGAATATAGGTCAAATGATCATAAACAATCAACAACTGATCGGGATTAACAAACAGCCAATCAAACCTTCGGCATCAAGTAGTGGAGTGACCCCGTAGACTTGTTCAGCAATCTCAAAAGCCGAGGTCAAGTTGGCTCGAGGTGGCTGTCTTCGAGCTCGATTGAAATCAACCAAATCTGGTCTGATTTATCAATCAATCAATCGATCAAAAAAAAACAAAATGCAATTAAATCTCACTAAAAAGGAAAAAAAACACAACCCCACCTATGTCTATGCAATATAGCCAAAAGTGCCAGGCCGTCCCTCCACGACCTTGAGAAGTCCTTCACCTTGACCCCTGGATAACCTTCGACCATTTTCTGGCACCAAAGCAACAGGGCTTCCTTGATTGAGGCGTCTGTAGCTGCTGCTGTTACAGGTTGACCTCTGACAACCACATCTCCGACCTTTCATATATATATATATATACATAAAAAAAAGTTAAAAATAAAAAAAATATTTATATATTTATTTATATAATTATTTATTTTATTACATTACCTGATAATGCAGGATGAACGTCCAAATTAGGCCAAGCGTAAGTTTCGGATTGCCGTCAACAATCTCGTCAGCTCGAATATTTACATACTTTATCTAGGTCAATGGAGAAGGGAAAACCAGGTCAATTAATCGTCATCGTCACCATCATCATCACCATCATCATCACCATTATCATCATCATCACCATACTATTTTTATGCAATCGTCATCATCAACGTCGTCCGTATCACGGCTGTCTTTATAAGAATAACTTTCTTCGCTGTTATGAATGCGTTTGTTGTCAAAATCAAAAATCATCATCATCAACAACAACAGCAACATCGTCGTCGTCATCATCATCGTCATCAACATCGTCATCTTCATCATCGTCACCCTTTTTCGGTTGAGATAGTGCAGAACGGTCTGTACATTTTGCATCATGTGGCATCTCATTCGACCTCTCTCACGAGGCTGTTGGGATAGATTTGGAAAAAGTTCTGTAAACAGACATCTGGGAAAATCCCATCTTTACATTCATTTATAAATAACGAGCATGAAAATAACTAGTTTTACACATAACGTATTTTTTCCAATAAACACATAAAAAATTCCATTCTTCCATTTGCAATTAACCAAATGTATAATCAAAGTGAAAGTTAAGGTTATCAGTCCTGTAAGAATAAAATGATTATGATATGTATTTGTCCTCAGATCACATCACATCCAATCAATCAAAGATGATAATTACACAGTCAGACTTTTGAAACCCAAGCCAAAAGTGCAAATATAATTATATCTGAAAATAAATGATGAAGCAGCTAATGATACTGCACCCTACATAATGATGATAATAATGATGATGATGATGATAATAATAATAATAATAATGATAATGATGATGATAATGATGATGATGATGATGATGATGATGATGATGATGATGATGATGATGATGATGATGATGATGATGACAATGATGACGATGATAACGACGGAAACAAAAAGTTAAGAAAGCAACACAACAACAAAAAAAGAGTAAAGACAACGACGAAACGGCATGTAAAATAAACGAATCTTTAGTGCAAATAAGACTAACTAGAATCATACGAAACTTCAGTAAAAAAAAAAAAAACATGAACCGAAAGTGATAAATCAATGGAAATCCAACAAAAACGAAAGTGAAACTGACGAATCTCCTGTGGGAAAGTACTTCAAGAAGGGTTATGAGGTTAAGGCCGTCTCTGAGATCCTCGAACAAATCAGAGATCAGGTGACGCTGCTGTACCTGCGGACACAATAATAATAATAATAATAATAATAACAATAACAACATCAATAATAATAATAATATCAAAAATTGGTGACAGAATGGTGTAATGGTTGAGAGATATAAAATTTTCATTAGTACTAGTGGCATCAGTTGGTACAAATGACAGATCATAATAGCACAACCTGATTGGTCTATAATTAAATGGGGCGATAATCACTATAATTAAACACATAATAATCATATTTATATATAGTCATATATTAATAATAATTATAATTATTATTATGATAATAATAATTATAATTAGTAGTAGTAGCAGTAGTATTATTACCACCTTGATCAAATGCTTGTTAACCCATTTAGTGAAGGTCTTCTTTTGAACTAAATCTCTTTCATCTGATCAAATGATAATGATGATGATGAAGATGATGATGATAACGAAGCTGATAATTATGATGAAGATGATGACGATGAAGCTGAAGCTGAAGTTGATAATAGGAAGAATAGAAAGTATAATGATAACGACAATGATATTAAAAATAACGAAAGCAATTATAAAATAGTTACTTGCCCGCAACTCTAAGGACAGCCCTATCAGCCCTGTCCAATTGCAGGGCCCCCAGTGGCAGATAGAGGTCCAGGCGGGCCTCTTTCGAGAAAGCCCCACACCACGAATGTCTATCCCAATCCCGATACGCTGCCATCTTTTGTTGTTGTTGTTTAGTTGATGATGATTTTGTTGTTGTTATTAGATACTGTTGTTGTTGCTACTGTTGTTGTTGTTGTTAGTATGAACTGTGGCTAGATGTGTTTGTCTCCTCTCAATATTATAGATGCCTTGTTTAATAATAATTTCTATTACCCTTTAAAGCTATTAAACTTGTCTGAACAATACAACTTAACTAGATTCAATTTGAACGTTCTTTCACATAGAAAAATCACTTATTACAGCAATACCTTCGATTTTCTAAATGCATTTATTTACACACATATATACAATGCATGAACGCACGCACATGTGTTGTATATGCGAGTGTATAAAGTAATATATGGTTAAAAAAAACCATGCGTATGTACGTGTTTGTGTACAATTACCAAACTAGCAACTGATTGACTAAAATCTTTTTATGGAAAATGTAAAGCTATACAGAAAAAAAACTATCAAGTTTATATTTGTGATTTTTGGTAAATTGTCTGTCGATTCATTGGAGTGGATTTTGTTTTTGTTGTTGTTGTTGTTGGCGTTTTCTGTTGGCTGCTTTGTTGATGTTGTTGTCGTTTAAAAAGGGCTTCAGAATCAGTTTCAACAACAAAAAGAGCCCTTAACACGCCTTGGTTTGTATGATTTTTTTTTTCTTGATCTTTCTTCTTACTGTTTTACAAAAAAATTAAAAAATTATAGAACAATTATGTATACACCAAGTATAATGATGATGACGACGACGACGATGATGAAGGCGATGATGACGATGACAAGATGTAAATGATAAATGACAAAGTCAAAAAATATTTTAATAGCTTTCGCCACAAACAAAAAACTCCAAATCTAATATGTGCCTACCCCGCCAGCCGGCAACCATAAAAACAGATACGTACGCACACACACACACACACACGCACACACACATACAAACACACATACATACATGCATACATACATACATAAACACACTAGCATACATTGCATTCGTATATACGCACAGAGAGAAACGTATGCGTATATATGTACAACATACTGACGTACACATACGCACACATAAATACAAAAAAATATACACACACATACAAACAAGCAAACAAAACTATAAACAATCTGACGCGGCAATATTATCTTCTGATTGATGTATTAATATAAATAATAGAAATTAATATGCAAGGTGTGTATGCTGTACCATTGTTTAAACTTCAATACCGATATATGTATATATAAATACAAACATTTAAATATACAAACAAACACATGCACACATACATACATAAACACATTAACATATATATACACATACATAGATATATACATAGATATATACTTATGTGCAAGCATACATGAAGAATACATAGAAAACAAACACATATGCCCAAGTATAGCATTAGGTTGAATTGGCAGGCTGGCTGACTCAGATGAGCCATGTGTTGTTAAGATGATCATCATCATCATTATCCTCATCAGCATCATCATTGTCATCGTAACCGTCATTATCATGATCATCGTCGTCACCTTCATCATCTTCGTCGTCGTCGTCGCATTTTAATAATCGATCATGGTGGTGGGGCTTTCATAATGTTCATTGTTTTAATTATTCATTTATTCATTCATTCACTCATTCATTCATTTATTCATTCATTTATTCATTCATTCATTCGTTCGTTCATTCATTCATCTATTCATACATCAGAAGATACACACACTCATACTTCCATTCATCCATCATTTTCTTTGTTCATTCATTCCTTTGTTCGTTTGTTTGTTTGTTCGTTCAATCACCTTTCTATTTTTAATAACGTTTGAATTTTTTATAACAATTTTTGTTAGTTTATTCGTCTGTTCATCAGCTAATCCATCAATCCAACCATTCATCCATCCATTAATTCATCCATCCATCCATCTTATCTTAACATCCGTTCATTTGTATACTCATCAATCCATTCACTCATTCATTAACCTATCAATTAATTCATTCTGTAATTCACAAATATATCAATCCAATCATTCATTAACTCATTCCTCCATTCATTCATTCATCCAATCAATCACTCATTCATTCATCCATCTATCTTATCTTTCCATCAATCATTGACTCGACATTCAATGAATACCAGCCAAGGTCAAATGGAAATGCTATTATTATAAAATAAACCAATGAATAATGAATAATAATACATAATGTGTTTCAGCATAACACATTGTTAAATACAGGTTAATAAAATACAGTTAAAAGGCAAATGAGCTATTATTTTCTAACAAATACTATACCAGGTTACAAACCATTTATCTATTTATGAGTAACATAAGAACAATATATAGTTTACAATACAAAAGACAAACTCAACAACATTTCTTAAAAGTTTAAAAGTGCTAACACGAACACACACGCACACGCACGCACACAAGCACATACACACATACACACACACACACAATGCAGCATTCTTTTGATAATCTTAAAGAGCAAAAAAAGATATGAATGAAAAGATATGATATATTAAATGATATACTGACTAGTATGAGTGATGCATGATAGTGATGATAGAGTTGAAATAAAAACTGATGATGATGACGACGACGATGATGATTGTGATGACTGCACATAAATTGAAAATATTTAAATTTATTAATAATTAAATTCAATAAATAATTAATTAAATGTAAACAAGCAAACAATAAATAGATTCATCATCTGAATACACACAGATATAGGAAGTATTTTATTTAAAAGCGAAGATACAGATATTTTTTTTGCTTTACAGAATTCCAAAAAACAAACATAACTGAAAATGAATTTTAAAAATAGCCTGTCTAACAAATTTAACCATCACTAGCTTGTGTAATATGAGCAAATGTGTGTTGCTGTTATGTATGTTTGTGTATATATGTGTGTATGTATGTGTATACTGTATGTATATATGTGTGTACATATGTATGTGTGTGTGCACATGTGTGAGTGTTTATTCCATTATAATAATGTGGGTGATCAATAGTGAAAAGATCAATAATCTAGCCTATTTATGGTTTGAGATTTTTAAATATTATCCTACATACTGTAGTATGTGTGTATGTCTGTATGCATGTATGTATACTTGTGTGAAGGAATGTGTGTGTATATGTGTGGATATGTTAATATGCATATATATATGTGTGTATACTCTATACTAGATAAGTAATAAGTGTACACATCTTAACTCTTACATTTCAACTCTTACGAAGTGTTGAAGATCAGGTTTTGTGGAGGTCGGTGGTTGCCAATGTCCTGATAGAATAAGGCACGAGAAAGAAGAAGAATGTATGTTTTATTTACATTTTACAAGTTACATATATAATATATAAATATATTGAAAGAAATTTTTCAAAAACATGAAAAATAATATCAATCATTATTAAATATAATTTAATTAATTAAATATAAAAATCCTATTTAAACCGCTAAAAAATGTAACATCTTACTCTATTAAGCCTAACATATCACATACATAACATAACTTGGTTGGGCCATTTAAATTCAAATTTTCAAATTTAAATGTCCAATACAAGAGGAAATACATACACACAAATTTAAACAAAAAAAATCATACTTTGCAGCAAAAAAATCACAAATTTAATCATTTATTTAGATAAAATATTTATTAAATAAAATAATTTTAAAGAGCATATTGACGCAAATATGATCGTGATTTTTAAAAATAATTAATTATCATAATATCTGACTCACACGAGAAATCCGACAACAGTGTTTAGAGGTTCAACTAACAATCACAGTTAGCGAACAGCTTTAATTTGTAATGTATCATGTGCACATACTTAGAATAAATATATATATATATCATTTAAGTATTAGTGCATACATATTTATATATCATATATATATATATGTTTGTAATATATACATGTGTATGTATATATATATATATGTATACTTAATTACATATCAATATATTATTGTTATACGTATATATAAATATCTTTATACTTCATTATGTATCATTAGATGATACTATCATCCACATATAATATGTATAATTTATTATATTCATGTATCATTTTTTCAATATATAACATTAATACGACATAATGCTGTTTAAAAAATGTTTTAAAACTGAAAGATATAGAGCAAAAGTATAAAAGTAAAATAACGTGTTAATTTTAAGTAACTTAATGATATAACATAGATATACATATCATTGGCAATAAAATCTATCACTAATAACGATGGTATTTATAACAAATCACGATAATGTATCATAATTTTTAACAATCACAGGCATTCTTTCTGAAGACACTGCACACTGGACAACTTCGTTTCTGCTTTCCACCCGATGTATGTATTCCAGAAGAGGGCAACGAAATTTATAAGCAGAACCCTGTATCTCGATGGAATCAGATAAAAGTTAACAATCTGGACAACCGGCCAGACCTTATAACTGACTATCAATCCGTCAGTCATGTCCCTGACAACTTTTTGTTTGATAGTTTCCGATGAATCACCCCGTAGTATCGCTATGACCACCAGGTAGATGAATAGGTAGAGGGGCAGGAAAAATATCTGCGAAAAATTAATTTAAAAATAAGCACTTGATAACTTATCCTTTATACAATAACTCTCTTCAGCATTTTTCAGAGGTATTTAACAGCAATCGTTGTAGTACGTGTAAACACCCACATGTGAGCCAACGTATTACACATAGATTGCATGCTATTGGCGGGCATCTCCTTTGCATTTAAACCCCGTCAAATTACGACAGGAAACACGTTAATTAGGCCTCAATTAAATGTGCATTTCAAAATTCACTTTGAGAAATCTTTCATATATTGTATTTAAAATTAACAACTGACTGCAAAAAAACAAATGCCTACTTGATCCCAACACAACTTTTTCAGTGTCCTTGCCGCCTGACTACCGACGATTATTTTGCGGTCCAACAACGAATAGAAGTGGTGCATGCCTGGACCGGCTAGGAAGAAACCGACACTCGTAAATCTTAAATTTCTTTTTACATTTTCAAATTGAATTGTTACATTAAGGTAGTGTTCATTTTTGAAGCAGTTATGTTCTTTTTATAAAGTTAATTAATTAATTAATTTATGATTTTTTTCTTCTTATTGTCGACTTATTATATTAATTTGACAAATTTTGATATAAAAGAATGAATTTAGAAAATTTATTGCATTATTATAATTTGATGGTAGCTAACTACGAGTCTAAAACGAAGTTTTGTAACAAAATTTATATTTTGTAAAACAATAAAATCATGCCTATAATTTACACATCACCAGTTACAAAAATTCAAAAACCCCTATACATAATTTACACAGTACAAACGCTGCAGCCTTTTACCTAAAAACCTCAAACTCTAGCAAGCCTCTGTTCTCTAGGACCAATTGGGCAATTACGTCACCGAGACACATGACCAATCCAGTGTTGATTGCATTGGCCAGGCATGGTCTCTTGGACATCAGATGACTTCTGTACCAAGACCACGCACGCACTGCTGCTGCTGCTGCTAATGACGTCAACGACGACGATGACGTCAACGCTGATGATGACGTCGATGGTGGCTGCGAGTTGAGAACGTTTGTTGCCTGATCACGTGAGGTCGACGATGAGGATGATGACTGCCAAGATGGTGATTTACTTTTGGAGTTGAACATTTTCAGGTGGTTCCCGAATAAACTTGGGTGATATGACGTTGTGTAGGATCTCCGCTGTACTGCAGGGTTGTATTTACTAAAAGTTTGTGACGTCTTATTACACCGAAAACAGGAAATGGATTTTTGACGGAAGTGGATGCCGTAGTGCAGACGAAAACTGCATGGGACTATGCTTTTAAGTGGCAAATGCATCGGGCTTTGTGTTGACGATTGAGGATTGTATATGAGGGAATGAACGAACAAACGAATGAATGAATGATAAATTGTTGAAGTTGTAAACTTTTTCCACTTTACCTCCTAATTATCATCTTAGTTACTTCACGTCAGAACTAAGGTGACAGTATCCATTTCAACGTTCGAATTCAACTTAATATTTGACTATTTAACTTTTTGAAATAATATTTCAATAAATTAAAATAAATAGAATGAAGAATTTACGTAATTTTTACAGCTTACTACGTTCAAATATTGATATTTAAGGTGTCACATTCTTCAATGAAGAGCGTAAAATGTGTAAAAAAAATGCCATAAAAAAATACATACTCAACTCTAACTTAATTAAGCTGGGTATATACATGAATCGTCCCGTAAACATCTTAAAATTTGCATACATTGATACACATTTAAATTGCACACACATACACATATACAGATACATGCAAACAAACATACATACATATATACATACATACACACATACATAAATACAACTTGTTGTGAAGAACTGTTTGTTTGTTTGTTTGTTGTAACATTTAGACTTTAGATTTTAGAAAATTTTGTTTTGTCAACTTTCCTTTTTCCGTGTCGCAGATTAGTTTTATAATTTCATCATTTTATATTTTGATTAAATTTTTTCTTTAATGATAGCTATATTTCTAATCGTTCAACCAATCATTCATCCATTCATTCATTCATTCATCCATCCATCCATCCATTCACTCATTCGTTCAGTCATTTTCGGTTAAAATTTTCGTCCCGTCAGATTCAAATTTCCAATAATGAATACGAAGATAAATTGAACATTTTTAAGAAAACTATTTTCTTTTCTATCATCACACCAAATACTAAAATAAATCTCTGATAACAAGTACACGTATGTGTGTGTGTGCGTGCGTGTGTGTGCGTATGTTTGTGTATGTGTGGTGTGTACGGTGTGTGTAAACAATTTCATCAAATAAAAATAAATATCAATGCCGTTGGTCTTCATACTAAGAATACGAGACGTGTATACACGAAAAAATATACATTTTCATTATTTTTAAAAATAAATAGTAATAATAATAATAATTAATATTATGATAATAATATTTATTATAATGAAAGTTAAATCAAATAATTTAAAAATATAATTGGCCCATCAGATGATTGCACAGCACTTGTTCGTTTTCTTGGCCTGGTTGAAAAAATTATTAATTAATTAATTCATTCATTCACCATTCATGCACTCATTCATTCATTTAAACATTAATTCACTTATTTATTTATTTGATGACTGAGACTTTACTTTTACTTACGTACGATACTTTTAAATAACATTTTATTCCTATGTCAAACACACCATCATCGTCTTCATCACCGCTTTAATCATAATAAATTAAATTATGACCATAATTATAAATCATAATTAATTATAATTAAATTTTATTATGATCATAATTATATTGTCGTGGTCACCGTAACGTAAAACGCCTTGGCCGACAGGCTCAACTCCTCGGACTGTGCCACCAGGTCGTCCAGTTTCTCGTCTCGTTTCAATAAAGATTCGAAATTGCAGTGCTAATAAGTGAATGAATGAGTGAATGGATGGATGGATGGATAAATAGATGGATTAATGAATGGATGGGTGAATAGATGGATAAATGAATGGATGGTTAAGTCTACTAATTTCTTATCCCCAATAAAAGTATTCAAATATAGCTAATGAATGAATGAATGAATAATGCTAATGAGCTAATGAATGAATGAATGAATAAACGAACGAAAGAATAGATGAATGAATGAATGAATGAATGAATGAATGAATGAATGAATGAATGAATGAATGAATGAATGAATGAATGAATGAATGAATGAATGAATGAATGAATGGGTGGATTTATAAAAATAGGAAAAAAAACTTCACTAGATTACCATGATCTCCTTAGTCTGTTCAACACTGCTTTGCAACCTAAGAATCTGATCAGCCGATTTTGGATCCTGTGCGAGAGACGAGACGAAACGAAATAAAACGAAACGAAATAAAACGAAACCTTAATTTTGTAACTGCAATTTCTCAAAATGATGTGATATGATAATATGAATGTGTATATATTTACACGATATACGATGAAAATATTAGCAATAAATAATGTTACTTGGTACTTGACGAGAACCATGTCGATGTCTTTGAATTGTAGAGTGCTGGGTAGGGAAATGGGAAGTTTGGAAAATACGTACACACACACATACACACACAGAGAGAGAGAGAGAGAGAGAGAGAGAGAGAGAGAGAGAGAGAGAGAGAGAGAGAGAGAGAGAGAGAAAGAGAGATACACACCCACACATACAAAAAGACACACATACATATATACGCAGATACTAACTTCGAAGTAGTACTTTTACACGTATCAATTGAAAATTTCTTCGTGAAGTCTTCTGTGAACTACGAGAAAAAAAAATCCTTACTCATTCGACAATTTAAAATAATAATAATAGCAACAATAATAATAATAAATAATTATTCTTAAAATAATTAATAATAATAATAAATAATAATTATTATTATTAACTTTAGCCACGATAGATAGGGCGACACGGGCTGGATATTCTGCGTCTGAAATGAGTATTCCTACAATCCCGTTCGGACAGCTGTGGACGTGGCACACGTAATCTTGTGGGGGACACAATAATAGCAATAATAATTATTATTATTATAAAATAATAACGTAAATAATAATAATTATTATTATTTAATATTATTTAATAAGTATTATTATTTAATAATTATTATTATTTTATGTATCAATCTTTGTTTTGCCATATAAGCTGTTAATCCATCAAAGAATAAATCAGTCAAACGTTCAACTAGCGAATCATTCACACAGTCAACTAAACAACCACTGTCAATCAAACAACCACAGTCAATCAAACAACAACGGTCAATCAAACAACTAACCAACCATTCTCTTGTACAGACATGTGCCTATCGTTTTCGCTCTTCTCAGCCAAAACCTTTCCACTGAAGTTCATAAACTCTCTGATGCTATTGTAGATAAATAATTACAATACAACAAAAGATAATGGCATTATTAGCAGTAGTAGAAGCAGCAGTACTGGAAGTAGCGAGAATAGCAGTTTAAGTAGTATCAGCAGTATAAGTGGTAGCGACAGTAGTAATAGCAGTAATATAGTAGCAGCATTGGTACTTCTACAATAATTTTGATTATAACAAATAAATCTCACACGAACGTAAGCAATTCATAACCCAAGTACGAAAAATCAACCGCCAAACATACCTGTTCTGTTGGAAATAGCCGAAACTTGTCAAATCATGAACGCAGACGAGTCTCTTGGCAGCTTTCTCACCGGCTTCTGACTCACTAACGTAGAAAATACTAGCCGAATATAACTTCATATTGACGGAAAAAATACAAAAATACTATCTTTTTTTTCTAAATTATTTATGTCTATAAAAGCCTAGTATTAATATCTACGATATGAACCCCTAATCGTCGTTAAATAATTTTTCCTCGGCAATTTTGGTAGGTCCCTGAAGTAATATTAGCCAAAAGATTTTGAGTTGTTGAATTTAGGTAATTTTGCCGTGAAATGAATCGGTTCAATTCATCAAAATAACGTTCTCGATTTCGTTTAAAACTGTCTGAAAACTTGAAAACTCTAAGAAATAATTTCCTGATTCTTGTGAAGTCTTTAGACACCAAGAAAAATTTGCCTTTCCTCCACTAACTTTCATTCAATCTATATTTATTTCTCCACTAACTTTCATTCAATCTATCTTTATTTCACTCACACGTGGACTCATACACTCATTCATTCAGTCATTCATTCATTTATTCGAGATATATCAACAACATGGAAAAAATAGAGAAAATGAAGGCTTTGTTGCGTTAGAGTAGTTCAAGACGCAAACAAGTTATGTTTTCATATATGTGCATACCTACATACATACATATATTAGTACATACATACAACATACATACAGGCATGCTCCATACAAGAATAAATGTATATACCACTCAAATGACATGAACAGATATATTAAATTATAGAATCATAATAGCAACAACAATAATATTATCAATAATAATAAATATTCTCAATGCATACATTCCAACAAGGGGGAAAGAAAAATCAATAAAAAGAGAAACGCCCATCCGACTGCTATTGACCGGCTATTTTTAGAAATATGACGTCACGATTACGTCATCGTCGTGTAATGTAAACATGCGAGGGCGTATGTTTAATGAGTACGGGAAGTAAATAGATAAATCAAATAACCAAAATAACCAGTCGATCATTTTAATTACAAAAGTACAATCTTTCTTACTTTGGTTTTATTCATTCTTCATAGAAAAAAATTCGTCCAATCATTCGTTCATTTTACAACGTTCAATAACACATCCATTTGTTCATTTCATTCATCCATTTGTTCCTTCAATCTTTCTCGTTCTTTCACTTATTTTATCACTCATTCAATCAATCAATCAATCTTCGTTTAGCGTCCAGAGACCCAGTTTCCCGAGGTAGGACGTATTTTATCACTCATTCGTTCAGCCATTCATTACCTATCTATTATTATTCACTTATAATTTATACATTCATTCATCGTTTTATTCATTCATTCACTCAATCATTCATTCACTTAATCAATCAATCATTAAACAATTCATTCATTCATACATTTTCCATACATTCATTCCTTTTTTCGATCCATCAATCATTAATTCCTTTATCGATTCACCTATTCAATCATTCATTCAGTCATACATTTATACATACATCTAATTGTCCATTCGTTTACTCATTCATTTATTCATTCACTCATTCATTTATTCATTCATTCATTCGTCTAAACTTTTAACTTTGGTTTAAAAAAACACAGCAACAAGAATTAATAACTCGATGATTTTAACGTGTATATATATATATATATATATGTATATATATATATATAATATATATACATATATATATATATATATATATATAGGAAAGAGACGTTATTATGATATGATGGTGCCATCCTTAATAAAAAAAAAATATTAAATATTATTATAAATATTATAGTTAATAAATATTTAAAAATATGAGTCAGTGAATGACTGAATGCATTCATTTTTTGGGTGGATGAATGAATGAGTGAATGAATGAATGAATGAACGAATGGAGAGAAAAAAATGAATGAATGGAATGGATTGAATGATTATATAGTCATTTAAACATCAGTGATTGGAGAAATTGATGATAACAACATCCATCTTCTTATATGTATACAAAAAATATATGCAAACAGACAAACAAACAAACAAATATACAGACAAACAAACTGACTAACAAACAAATATGCAGACAAACAAACAAACAAACAAACAAACGTACTATTACAATGCAATAGCTAATATTATTATTAAAAGTAATGCTTTCAGTTTAAGTAGTAACAATATTCAATGTTAGAAGTAGTAAAAGTAGTGGTAGTAGTAGTAGTAGTAGTAGTAGTAGTAATAGTAGTAGTAGTAGTAGTAGCCACAGCAGCAGCAGTAGTAGTATTAGTAGCCGTATCTTTTGAGTCGACAGTTAAATAGTCGAAGGTTAATAAATAGTACAAGACTAAGACTGAACAATAAGTTTAACTTTAAAATATAAATACATACAAACGCATACACGAATACAAGTGCATACATACATACATACATACATACATACATACATACATACATACATACATACATACATACATACATACATACATACATACATACATACATACATACATACATACATACATACATACATACATACATACATACATACATACATACATACATACATACATACATACATACATACATACATACATACATACATACATACATACATACATACATACATACATACATACATACATACATACATACATACATACATACATACATACATACATACATACATACATACATACATACATACATACATACATACATACATACATACATACATACATACATACATACATACATACATACATACATACATACATACATACATACATACATACATACATACATACATACATACATACATACATACATACATACATACATACATACATACATATACCCACGCATAAAAATGAATCATATATACTACTATATAATTGTTATTTCATCAAAATAAAATAAAGTAATGATCATGGTTGCAATATGGAATATATATATATATATATATATATATATATATATATTTATATATATATATATATATATATCACACTTTGAATAACGAACAAGCCAAAAATAAATTGAAAAAAAATTGAAAAAATGTAATTCATAAATGAGATTATTCTGCTAATTATTGACAAAATTGGGAAAAAACTGTATGTGTATGTGCGTATGTGTGGGCGTGTATATATAAACACATACACATGTATAAATGGAATGTATATGAAACTAGAAGAAAAGACTTTTTATAAATGAATCGACTATAAATCACACCTTATAAATCAACAAAAAAGAAACTTAAAAACAAAGTAACTATTATTATTATTATTATTATGATTATTATTATTATTCATGTTATTATTTTTCAATATTATTATCACGATTACTATCATCATTCATTATCACAATCATCATCATGATTATCGAATTAACTTTAGCTGCTGAAAAATAACCAACCAACTGAACAACTAAATAAGGATATATATCTTCAACTTAAGGATATCTTTAAAGGGATAACGATGACGATGATGATGGCAGAGAACAAAAACAACAGAAGCATGGACAACAAAGAGCAATTAATTGGCAATAACAACAACAACAGCAACGTCAACAAAAACAAATATACATAACAATATACATCAACAGACCACATTTACAAACGGAAGTTTTATAACAGAAAGACAACAATCACATCAACAAAAATATGACAATATTGTCATCAACAACGACAGCGCATACATACATACACACATACGTACATACATACATACATACATACATACATACATACATACATACATACATACATACATACATACATACATACACACTTACATACACACATACATACACGAAAACAAATAAACCCATCCAAGACCAAAAGAATGAAGAGTTAAAAACTATGCATTCATACATCAACTGGTACAACAACACATCATATACCTCAAAAAACACAATTACGAGAGCATGAAAACAACAGCAGAGGAAGCAGCAATGACATCAACCTTATAACAACGACAACAACAACAACCACAAAAACCACGACAGCCACAACAACAGCAGCTACAACAACTCAAGCATAAAACTCCTGCTGTTGCTGCATCTGTTGCAATGGCTGCTGGATATTATAACCAAAATGTTGATCCTGATCTTTATTACCCCCACCTGAGACGACCCCAACAAAGCCGCCAACGACGCCGCAGCCCGTACTACTACCGCTGTTGTTGTTGTTGTTGGCGTTGTTGAATATCAATGACCTTGTACTTCTGCGTTCGGGGGCATTGTTGCTGCTGTTTGCGAGGGCATATGATCCTTCATCCTTCTTGCGCATCCTATAGACCACGAAGATGCCCAGCAGGGCCGAGCCAAGCAGGCCCGTGATCACTAAGATGGCTACTACTGCGTTGGTAGGGAGAAGTGCAATTTTTATGTTCATTATCAGTATTATAATCAGTACCATCATTAGTATCATTATCAAAAATTATAAGTATCATCATCAAAACTTACCAGCAAGAAAGGCGGGACCACTGCTATGATGATTGCCATTCATGGAAGCTAAGTTCTTTGGGTGCTCCATCTCATGAATTGCATCTCTCTCTTTTGTTTTAATTAATTAGTTAATTAATTAATTGATTACTAAATTAATTAATCAATATTAACAATACCTGGATCAAAACTTTCACAAGACAGAGGAAGCTCCCCAGACCTCCTGGAACCCTCTAATTTCACCCCTTGTTTGTTGACACACCAACAATGTCTCTTAGAGCACTGTTTCAACTTAAATTCACCAAGGGCCGTGCATTCTGGTAGGCGAAGTTCCTCCCCATCTTCGTCGTCGTCGCCATCTTCCTCGTCGTCGTTGTAGTTTGCATTAGTTTGTTGTTTCTTGTCTGACTTCTTACTGTTGTTTGACTTTCTAAGGATTATCTGCCTTTCAACCTCTTGTCGTTCTAATACACATGGCTCATTTTTATGGCTGTCTGAATCGGATATTAATGTAGCAATTAAGCATTTAAGAAAATTTGTGATTTTTAACAAATAATTCTTATTTTTGAAACTTTTCAGTTTTTGCAAAACCTGGTTAGAGAGGCTTACCATTGTCATTGGATTGATCAGTGCCATCATCACTCTCTCCATCTTCCTCCTCCTCATCTTCCTCCTCCTCATCTTCCTCCATATCTTCATCAACGTCCTCATCTTCGTAATCCTCATCTATGTCATCATCTACGCCTTCCCCTTCTTCGTCATTGCGGCCGCCATCAACGTCATCATCCAGATCTTCATTCCCATGCTGGGTGTCGTCAAAATCATTATTCAGATCTCCACCAGAGTAATCGGAATCTCCACCTTCCTCTCTCTCTTCGTCGCCATCTTCATCCTCGTCTTCTTCGCCGTTTTCATCATTTCCATCGTATTCTTCTTCATCTTCGCTATCGCCATCTCTCCGGCCCTGTTTTTTATTTTTTAATTGAAAATTTAATTCTTAGGCAGCCTCAAAGACAGATCAAAAGATTGGTTAGATAAAAATTTAAAAATTTAAACAATAAAATAAATTAACTAAAGTGTAAAGTAAACTGTAAAATTTATTTGCAATGTAAATTAAAATTTGAAAATGAGTTGTAAAAATCCAACCGTGAATGCATTTGCTTGAATTATTAAATGAAAAAATAAAACAATAAATAAATTTAATTTGTAGACCATTTTTTAAATTAATAAAATATTTCCTTAAATGTCTTTTAAATCTTAAATTAAAATGTTTGCAATTTAAAAATTGAATATATATAAAAACAAATTGGGTTAATCTAATCGCGGAAATTAGACCATAGCATATTTCATGTATATCGCACTTAGGTGGAATTGAACTGAAAAAATAGGAATGAAATCCTACATTTTCAATAAATAAATGCAAATATTTAATATAATCTGGCAAATTACAGTTATTTTATTTTATTTCAAACATGAGTGAGTGAATATTTTACAATCTACATTCATTTTTTCAGGTTATGTCATGTTAAACAATATATAAAATGAAGAACACTCCAAAATAAACTCTTATTTTACTTATATACATAAATCTAATAACAAACTACCAGCTTATTTCAATTTATTAGTGCCACATTTAAAAAATTTGAACTATTTATAGTACATGTTCAGAAGTAGATAATGTTAACTTTTTGTCGATTCAAGATACAACAGCGCTACTCAACCTTTTGAGATTCAAGGACCACTTAAAAAATGTTCGTCTCAGTCGCGGATCACTACTGAAAACTTTGCTACTAGCGCACTTGAAATTTATATATATAGGGGAGGACATAATTATTATTTCATATGATGACGTAACAGCTACACCTAGTTAGCATGGCATAGTTCTTAGTTTAACTGTTAGACTTAGAGAACTACAGTTACCACTCTTGAATATAGGTGTATTAAAATTGTTATTTAAAAGTATTTATTATATATTTTAATAAATGTTTTAACTTCAAATTAAAAAGTATAATGTTCGTTTTACGTTGATGTTTGCATAGAGCGTATCTCACGGCGTATCTGGCGTATCCTCAATTTTTATGTCAAATATGAAACAAATTGTAATTGCAATAGATGGTGGTGTATGGATCATGGATATATATATCCATCCATGGTATCGATTAGAGGTGAGCGAGAATTGAAATTTGTTTCCAATTCCATCTCATTTTTCTTATTCCGGATTCCCTCCAGAATTCTCATTTATGACAATGTTCACGAAAATTTCCATTCCCTTTATCCTTAACTCATTCCCGGGTTTTACCTCCCATTCTTTCCCATTTTCAAAGTTTTTGAACACAAAAAACACAAATTTTGTTAAAAATGCAGATTAAAAAATATTACAATTCTCATGAGAAGATGGAAGTACTGCTACTCTTGTTACTACCTCTACCGCTTCTTCTGCATTTAATAATTAGTGATATTAACACTACTACTACTATAAATACTACAACAACAAGTACTACTACTACTACTACTAACTCTACTAACAAATTAATTTTCAAACCACATTGCAAAGCCCAAAAATTTGGTATGATAGCATATACTCATTCAATGTCAATGCGATATAATGGCTTAAAATCGAAACAAAAAATAATTTATCAACTTAAAACTTTACAAAGCTAACAATCAAAGCAAAATGTTTCTATAAAATCGCTTGAGCCATATTCCAATCATCATTAACATTAAAAAATTCAAGGCCGGGGCAAAAAATTTCTTCTCCTAATTATCCACTTGAGTCCCCAGCTAAAATTATTCCAACTAATTCAATCACCAACATCAATATGGCAGGCTTAAAAATTGAGATTTTTTTGGCATATCCGACATCCGATAACAACATATTTTATTAGGACCAGTGTTTCTAACGAATATTCTACGAAAATTATGTTAACGTTGAATTATCTTTCTTGAGGAGGCAATTTTTTATGAAGGGCCCGTGAATTTTCAACCTTGATCTTGTACCTATTTGTATAGTAATCATCTAAAACTTGTCCTTCTCCTCCTTCTGCTTCTCGACCTGCTTCTCCGAGCGTTGTTTCTCTGACGCAGTCTTTTAGCCCTTAGTGTTCTTTGGAAGGAGACCAATGAGACCGCTGAGGCAATCGCTAGACCGACACCCACTCCTACAGAGGCAAGTACCACAGTAGTCACGTCACCAGAAGTAAGGTCTTGTGGTGTAGCGGTGGTGGTTGCTGCCGTTGTGTTTGTCGCGGTCGTGTTACCTGGAATTGTTTGTGGTGCAGTTAAAAAGTTTTTAAAATAATTTTTGGAAATTATGTAGCTATTGAGAAAATCGATCTTTTATCTGAGTTGACTTGACAAAATTGAAAACCTGAACTATTGCTAGACGGCGTTACGACGGATGAATTCAAAGTTGTATCTGTTTGGTTGATAGCTGCTTGCTGTGATGTTGTTGCTTGAACTGTGATAGTAGTTGTTGATTTGGTTGTTGTAGTTGTTGAGGAAACCGTTGTAGTTGCTGGCTTGGTTGTTGTGGTGGTAGTCGTTGAAGAGGCAGTTGTTGATGTAGTAGTCTGTGATTTCGTTGTGGTTGTTGTGGACGTAGTAACAGTTGTTGCTGGTATGGATGTTGTGGTTGTTGTAGTTGTTGGTCTCGAGGTTGTGGTTGTTGTAGTTGAGGGAGACGAGGCAGTTGTTGGTTTGGATGTTGTTGTAATTGCTGTTGTTGGTTTGGATGTTGTTGTAGTTGCTGTTGTTGGTTTGGATGTTGTTGTAGTTGCTGTTGTTGGTTTGGATGTTGTTGTGGTTGTTGTGGTTGGTTTGGATGTTGTTGTAGTTGCTGTTGTTGGTTTGGATGTTGTTGTGGTTGGTTTGGATGTTGTTGTAGTTGCTGTTGTTGGTTTGGATGTTGTTGTGGTTGTTGTGGTTTGTTTGGATGTTGTTGTAGTTGCTGTTGTTGGTTTGGATGTTGTTGTGGTTGCTGTTGTTGGTTTGGATGTTGTTGTGGTTGCTGTTGTTGGTTTGGATGTTGTTGTTGTTGTCGAAGTTCCTGACGAGGCGACTGTTTGTTATAATTTATATTTTTGTTGGTTGTATATAAGTGACGCCTTTTCTTAGATTAATTTAAAAAAGAATGAAATAAAATTTTGAATAAATTAATATTGAAGATTACATTTTAATTTTTATTATCATAACAATGGTGTAACCTCACTTTGACAGCCAGCCAAGAAGATGATGCAAAAGCTGTAAAGCCTAAAATGCATGGCTGACCAAACTCACAATGATGAAACCCGTCTTGCGAATGAAAATTGAGAAAAAATGAATGATTTAACGGATAATATCATTAATTGTTTTTTTAATTAATAATTGGATTAACAAATAACAATAAATACATCAAATTGATTACATTGTTATAAGTTTAACTTTAAATAAATTTTATTATACTGAAACTACTAAAGGAAAACTAAAAAATTGCAACTCAAATTGTCGAAAAGTTGCGGTAGAAACAAACAGAGCTCGAAAAATTAGTAACAATTTTAATTAATTAATTAATTTAATAATTAAACAATTAATCAATTAACTGATTAATTAATTAATTAATTAAAATAACGACTTAAGAAAAGCCTGTGCCCATTACGACAAATTTTCGAAAATAAGAGATTCAATCTGATACACAAATCATTTTAAATCTTGTTTTTAACGATCGAAATATCGCCGCGTGAGCTTTCCTACTACACGCCCACACATTTACACGTACACACACACACACGCACGCGCACACACATACATGGTATTAATTGCCGTAGTATTGGCATCAGCATTAGCAGTAGTATTAACCGTAGTAATATTATTTGTAGTAGTTTTATCAGCCACAGCAGCAGTAGTAATAGAAGAACGAGTAACAGCTGTAGTACTTACTACTAGTAGTAGTAGCAGTAGTAGTAGTATCAGCAGTAGAAGTCGCAGTAGTAACTACAACTGTAGCAGCTGTCGTAGCTGTCGAAGCAGCAGCAATATTAGCAGTATGTTAAGTTGGTACTTGCCCTTTTTTTTCTCACAACATTAGGACAATTAATATTATTTTATTTTCAATAGCGCTCTGGGAGGCACATGTGCGTCTTGCTCCTACCACAAGCCTTAACTTATAGAATAAATTATTTATTATCATTATTATTATTATTAAGGAAATAATTATAATTATTATTACTGAAAATAATAATTATAATTTCGTAAACAGAATAACAAGAGAAAAATAATCTGTCAGAAAAATAGAGGCAAACATTTCAAAAGAAATTCTGTTATCGTCGTCGTCACCATCGTAATCCTCTACATCATTATCATCAGTATCGTCTTCATGATTTTCTTTGACGTCATCATCGTCGTCATCGTTAGCGAAAAATCAATTTTAATATTTAAGTATTTTCATACACCGCATTTTATAAGTTAATAAATGATTGAGTGAGTAAGTGAGTGAGTGAGTGAGTGAGTGAGTGAGTGAGTGAGTGAATTAATAAATGAATGAGTGAATGTGTGAGTAAATTAATGAGTGAGTAAATGCATTAGTAAATGAATGAATGAGCATTTCTTGACTGCTTCAGCATTACAGCATACTGAGCTACCCGAATAACAACATGAAATAAATCAACATTACACAAGAAAGAACGACTGCATACACACACACACACACACACACACACATGCGCGCACATACACACAACAGCACACACACAAAACACACATAAATATAAACACACATACATGCACATAAACACTACTTAAAAACCTTTTTTCATAATTCCTAAAATTTTTTTACAAGAGTTCACAATCTGCACTAATTAATTTCTTTATGTCTAATCTGTTACCAAATGATAAATGAAAAATATTTATAAAGAAAAAGTATCTATCTATCTATCTATCTATCTATCTATCTATCTATCTATCTATCTATCTATCTATCTATCTATCTTTATATCTATCTATCTATCTTTATATCTATCCGTATATCCATCTACATATCAATTCATTCATCTATCCATCTCTATGTGAAAATGAACAATAAAATCGACCAATAAAAATATCTCGCATGTGCGTTTGACGACACCCAGAGAGAATGAGAGAGAGAGAGAGCGAGAGAAAGAGAGGGACCGAGAGAGAGAGAATGAGAAATTTTTGTATCTATTCTTAACGACATTCCACGTGGTTCTTCAAGGCGTGAGAAACGTTTAATAGCAAGATTTAAGGATAATAATAGTTAGCTAAGAATGACGCCGACCTGTACTTAATAAAAATAATAGTAATAATAATAATAATAATTATGATAACTAATATATCTAATAATTATTGCGACAATTATACTACGATTTAATAGGCTAATTAAGAAACAAACAATTATTTGTTAATGTTTATTGGATTTTCAAAATATCCCAATAAAAGAAATGTGCCAAATATTTTTTGTTGAAAATCAATCAGTCAGTTCATCTATTAATGATCATAACGATGATGAATTATTACAATGATGACGATGATGATAACAAAGGAACAGATAAACGAATGAATGAATGAATGAGTGAATGAACGCATGAATGAATGACCTCATTAAATGACCAAACAAATGAATGAAGATAATGATAGAATGTAATAATAGTCAATAGCTCTCTTCTCTAAAAGGCATATCTTGTTCTTATATCCTCCAACTTCTTTGAAACCTGAGAGGGAAAAAAATTATATTAAATATTATTATTATTGAATAATATTATTATAAAAATAATTACACTAATTATGATCAATTTATTAGTGTGTGTGTGTATTTGAATGAACAAGAATGAATAATACAGAGTCATTTAAATAATTAATCAAGTGAACGAATGAATGAATGAAACAAATGAATGAATGAATGAAAGAACAAACCTCATTGGGATTCCTATCCAAATCTTCAGCTATCGTCTTTTGTTTAGTGGTACTCAACGAGTTGTACAGCTCACACAGGTCGCCATCTATCACGTTCTGGTAATGTAAAATGTGGAATGAATAAAAAATGAAATTCTATATATTCTTTTCTTCAACAAACAAACAAACAAACACACACACACACAGAGAAAAGAGAGAGAGAGAGAGAAAGAGAAAGAGAGAGAAAGAATCAGAAAAATCTCTAAACTCACTCTGACGGGGTAGAAGTAGGATCTGTAAGCCAGATGCTCTCTACCTATAAGGGCCACCATCTCAGACCTCATGTGCATTTCAAGGTGTTGGAAAAAATCGTGATCCTGGGAAGAAACGAAATGATTCGATTAATTTATTGTATTAATTAATAATCTAACTTAACACACACACACATCCAACACATCCACATACACAATCAAACAAATAAAATTGATATAACATGTACACATACACACACACAAACACACACACACGCGCGCATACCTCGTGGGATGTGAATGGGACTAACATCCCAATCGATCCGGATAGGGTTGTATAGACGAGAGCCTCGGATCCGCCAGGAATTAATGTCGTCTTCTGCAGTGACGTCACCATCTCACCGATGTGAAAATTGACTAATGTGTCAGCCTGTGTTTTATTAATTATCATTCGATTAGGTTAATTGATTAATAAATAATATGTTAATAATAAATAGAGAATCCAAAATGTTAATCTAATACCTGGTGGACACAAATTTATAAAATAAAAATTATTTAAAAATGAGAAAAAAAAAGAAGGAAAAAAGGGCGATCCAACTTTTTGTGAGGCCCCACTGAGGAGTCCCCTGTCCCACAGTGCCTTGTTGCCAGTAGGGTCCTCGTCTACGTCATCTGATGTCTCATTTGGAAGGCGTACCTTCAATATCAGCGAAATGACAGTGCGTTAAGTGTGAATACAACATAAAAGATAATGTTACTTGTAGCATTCGGATAGAAAAATATTTCGTTTTTCAATAGCTAACTATATAGAAGAAAAAACAATTAAAGAGACTGCACTAACCACAGAAACATTCCCAAACTTATCGGAGCCGGCGATGGTGTTGTAATCAAGCAGGCAGGCACACGTCAGCCACCTTGGAATGATGTCGTCGGCAAATATCACCAGCTGGTTTTCCCGCCTCTTGTACTTCACAAAGTGGAATGATTCCTGGATATCGGAGACCACGATCCTGAATCCCATGGCTTGGATGTTGATGATAAAGTTAGGGATGTGTTTGTTCTCGCATTTTCTTAGTAACTTCTTCTTGCCTAGTTCGTAGAGCCTCAAAAACCTTCCAACTCCAATCAGGACCTTCCCTTTGAATCCCATTATGGCCCCGGGGACCTCGTCTACTGGCGTCTTGTGGAGTAACTCCAACTTTTCGCCTCCAGATATTATTTTGTAGACATGAACTGACCCAGATCCGACACTTCGAGGGTTCAAAACTAGGTCACGAACTACTCCTACCAACAAGAAGTCTTCATCTGGTCTGACTGCAAACTTCACTAACGCTATGCTGTATCGCGAGAGGAGATGATTTGAGTTAGATTAATTGAAATTAGGTTGTTCGTTAGTCTTATTGAAAGCATATTATTATGAGTTGGAACATGTAAGATAATTCATATTATTCATACATGACATAATGAGTCTTATAATACATTTTAACACTAAGTGTTTGAGGAAGGACGAAACATTTCTGAAGACTGACCTAAAAGCCGCCTCATTCTGTTCCAAAGCCAGCTTGAACAACGTCCTCTGATTAGCTGGATTGACGATTCGGATGACGGAGGCCCACATGCCAGCGCCTGCCTTGGCACCGCCGAAAATATCTTCTGGAAGGTTCTCTTCGAGGAAAGCGTGAGCCATCTCGCAGGCCAACTGCTGCTCATCTTCACCTGCCGCTTCAATCATCTCCTGTTCAATGGAAGAACGTGTAGTAGTGTTGGTGTTGTAATCACTGATACTAATTGATAATAATACTAACTAATTGTTAATGTTACGTTACTATGCGATCAGTATATTACGTAGATCAGTATAATCGCGTCTCAACGCAATTACATCACCAAGACGTCATCACGTTAAAACGACTCACCCTGGCCATTTGTTTCTTCCTGGCATCTTTCGTTTCTTCAGTATATGCGTTGTGGTCAGTTTCGATGATGATGATGTTCTTGGAGGAGGGATGGATGACCAACTTGCGCGGTGTGAACTGGAGGGGGGTGATCGACTGATTGAAGACCACGCCCAACTTCTCCAGGGCTAAGATCCTGAGAGTGAAGGAAGAAGAGAAGGATGAAAAAACGAAATGAGAACAATACATTATAATTAGCAATCAAAACTTAATAGAGAAACAAGTACAAAACCCAATCCAAGAAAGGGTTAACGAACCTAAGGGTATTCCCACTGATGGCCACAATGCCCTCGGGGCACTGCTCCGACGCAAAACCGGATGCATGCTCCAAGGTTTCGTACGACAGAGGTGTCAGGTGAAACCGATTTTGAAATGTGTAGCTGAGCCAGGTTCGGCTCGACATTGCTAAGATCTAGAGGGGTAAAATAACGATGATTACGTCATAGCAATGAAATTAGTACTCTAAGATTAAAAATCAAAATTATTCAATTAGATAGTTAGTAATAAAATTGAAAAATCAAAACTAACAGATTCTGTTCCCTGCATCATGACCTTGAACAACTTGACCGACCTTGACCCCAAGTAACGTGTCCTGGTATCTGATAGGTCGCCAGTCACACTGTCAAGCACTGTTCTCAGCAATACTCCATTCTGATTGGTTAGTAGAAATTGAACGAATTAAATAAAATTGATTGATTGAACCGATTGAAATAATTTAATTAATTTTTAATTCCAGCCAATCAGTACAAAGCCAACCTGCAATCCAATATTAAGGAACAATCCAGAAGATAGTGACGACGTCTTGCCATCGGCATCTGCCTCAGCGGTGCTGCCGCCTCCCACTTTTGACCCCCCTAACTCGACTATGCACAAGGATTCTGGAGTGGCAGGGAGTGCTTGCATGCTCAGCGGGGATAAACAATCCTGGATGAATGAAATGATTGACATATTAGTGGATTGAAGAAATCCAATGATTGGATGTTAACAACTTGTCGATAAAATTGATGTCAAAACTCACAGATGGGTCCAGAGAGATGATCCTAACGGTATTATCAGACAATCCGACTGCAAGAAACCTTGACCTTTGCTCGTTCGGGGGCACGCGAGCCAACGACATGCAGATGACCTCTGACGACATCTCTTTACGTTCTGTGTACTCGTTTAGTTGTCCTGACTGTTGGAAGGAAATTATGGTATCAATGATGCGAGTATCTAAATGAAATGAGATAACTAAATTAATGAAATAGAAAACTAACAGGATCCATTTCAAAGTAGACGAGCTCTCCACCACTCAGTGCAATGACGACCTGCCTTTGATTGACGGCACATTTTAGGATCGACTTCTTGCCCGGAGTCTTCCATTCGTTCACACGTTTGTCCGAACGTATGTGACGTATGCCTTCTGGGTAGATCTGTCAGGTTGGTGATTGGTTGAGTGTGGATGGCTAGTTGCGTGTGATTGGTTGGTTAGTTGTAAATGAATGTTTCTAACTGGTCGCCAATAAATGAGACACACACACACACACAAGCACACAGACATACACACACACACAAGCACACAGACATACACACAAATACAAACCTGAACGAGCGCATCATCACCCAGCTGAGAGCAGGAAAGAGTTGGAGTCGTTCCCAAAAATCCTGAATCAGTAACTTCCTCAACAGTTTCTCCAATGGAGAGAACCAGTGTAGCGTTAACGAAGGACACGATGATGTAGGAATCGTACTCATCTGAAAAAATATTCAATTATTATTTAATAATTATTTCTATTACGTATTTAAATTTATCAAATCTAACCTTCAGTTCTTTTCTTAACTGTCCAGACAGCGTTTGGATTGCCTGGAAGTTCGGAAACCGCCATCTCTGACACCTGGCATGAAATTTAAAAAAGAAACACCATTTTACTAAAAAATGTTATTCCAATTTCATTTAAAGTTAATACTTTGTAAAATTTTTATGAACTTTGATAAAATAAAACTTATGAATATTAATTAATTAACCTCCAATCCATGCCTCAGAACCCTGAGTGACGACCTTGGACCCCTTCCACAAAGGGTGTACAACTGGGGCGTGTCCTCATTGCCCAAATCTGTTATCTGTAAATTGTCAACAAATCAATCAATTTATATTTGAGTACATCTAGATTAGTTCAATGTCAGTTCATCACTCCAACGAACCAGCCAATCAAACTGACCAGCCAATCAAATCAACCCAACTGACCTGACAACCCATGATTGGGGAGAGACTATTCAATTCATCAACCATGACGAGATTCTTAAGGGGGCGTGGGGCGAAGAAAAATGTGTCACCCTCCTCTAGGGGCATGGCAGAACTGAATTCGGGCTCGTCGTCGTCATCACCGAGGTGTGCAATTTGATATAAGTTGCTAGTGAATGTCAAGGTGGAATGAAATTAAATTATTATCATTCAAAACTAGCAGCACAAATTCATTACAAAAATCATGTCTACAAATTAAATTTACAAAGTATTGATAACAAAAATAATACTAAATGATAATAAAAGTGAACTTACTGATTTCCAAACTCCGATGCAACGAACAGGAAACCGGTCTTGAGTACACACATCCCTGAAGCAACAGGAACGGTATCAAAATATTTCAGCCTAATTTCAGTCACCTAGGTAAATTAGAAAAACAGATCCATGTTAGTATATATAGAGATATATTTGTATATATTTGTATGTTAAGATACGTTTGTATATATATATATACACAAATTTGTATGTGAAGATTTTAATTTGTACATATTATGCAAGTAAGTAAAGACGTTCATATTTTGTAATTTTGAAAAATAATTAATAGAATTAATTTGATTGAGTGGTTGATTGAATAACTGAATGATTGATTGATTAAATGAATGATTGAATGGTGAATTGATTGATAAAAATAAAATAAATAAATTAATTTATTTATTGAATATTTAGTATAACTTACCAAGTCTTCATCAGTTTCCAATGTGATTTTAAAAATGTCGCCCTGCTCTGTCTGAACCAGGAAGAAGAACATCGTCTGCAGGAAATAAAATCAAAGATAGTAAATAGCCAAGGAAAACTTTTGACAATAAAGAAACAAATCAGTCAAATAGTGATAGATGAAAATGTCCAGACCTTAGTTCTGTGCGTGGCGCTACATACAAAGATCATCCCTCTTTCAGGATCGTCCAGATCATTCTGTGTGGATTTTGAAATTTAAAAAATTAAAATTTTAATTATGATAGAATTTATTTAAAAAACATAATAATCTAAAATAATAGCTAATAATCGGAATATTTTTAAAAATATTTTGTCAAAATTTCAGACAAAAGAAAATAAACTAACCCTTCTTCTTGGTATAGGGCACCTGATATCAGGTTGGTCACCAAAGTTTTTGTAGGTGATGTAGTTCTCTGAGCAGACCAGCACACCACTGGGTCCTTCATTGCCCCCAGGAACTGTAAAATTTAAATTCATTTTAAAATTTGTAATCAGAGACTACGTTTTTTTTTTGATTTTTGATAAAATCTAACAAGTTGTAATCAGGGTTAACATGTAAAGATTAATTTGATTGGTTGGTCATTTAATAATAACAAAATAATAAATAGATTGTGATATACCAGCTATGAGGAGATTGGCATGCTCCTCTAAGTTTACAGAATATTTTCTGACAACATGGTTGAGCCCGAGATCGAGTTCATAGTAGGTTAGTAACTGTAACGTTTTCATCACTGCCTCTCCTGTTGGGTCTGAATCTGCTTCCTGATTGGATGATTTGAAATTAAGTGAGAGGAGTTAATAAATGATTGATTCAAAACAATTTTTTTTAATATTTATCAATAATTCGCTCATTAAAACGAGTGTCAACATAGCAAAATAGTGAAAAGGCAAAAAATTACCATTTAGAAAAATATTGACCCTAACCCTAACCAAAGCAAATTAACCAAATCAAAGTACCCACTTCATAATCTATTTCCAGACAGGCAAAAGTTGGATTCTCGAACCCAACATCGACACCCACAATGCTGTAAACAAATGTGTTCGTCTTGTGAGCTTCGAGTGGGGATGAAATCGTCAATCTGGCCTGTGCATCTCTATTTAGAATATACACTAATTTCTGCTTTTCGATTGCCCCTGTATTGTGGAATTCAAAAATTGAAATAAGAGAAAAAATTAGATTTAGCAAGTTACAAACATGTCATTGTTTTGAAATGAAAAAATTTATAAGATGAATAACCAATCATAATGGCACGGCCTTTGGGGTCCACAGCCAGATACTGGCCTGGAACAATTCGACGACATCCTGATTTTCCATAAGTTTCTTGGTGGATCTAAAAATTAGAATCCAAAAAATAGAGATTTTTAAAAGTAAAACTAATAAAATTTAGAAAAAAGTCTAATAATAGTAAAGCAAACAAATTATAACTGATCTTATTTACTTTTTCAAAAGAATTTTTGCTAGGAATATATTCCAAGATAACAATTCTTCCGGAATCACTACCGACAACGATAAAATCTTTGGAGCCACCAGTCAATCTGAATGGAACCAGAGATCTGATGACACCAAAAACCTCCTCAGACAATAACGTGTAGACCTGGAATCAAATCAACATAATAAATAAATATTGTTTTTCTGTTAATTAGATTAATACTGAAGTAGAGATAAATAATAAACTAAATTTTTGATTTAATAAATTTATTTTATTTTATATATTAGATTTTTTTAAGAAAAACTGATCCTGATCTGATTACTGACTGAATTTGTGACAAACGACATAAGATCTCTTGAAAAGTTTTTATTAAAAGGCTGTCATACATACCTTTCCTGTGTTGGGGTCCGGCTTCAATATCTCCAAAACCTTTCCTCTCGAAACGACAATCTCTTGCTGCTTCGTTCCGGAAAAATTTCCGTGAATTACGTGCGTGACGCCGGTCGCTTTTTGCAAAGTTAAATTGTACAGGTGCATTTTGAATCGAATACAATTTAAAAATTCCTTGAAAAAATTTGAAAAATGTCAACTGAAATGAAACTCAAATCAGATTAACAAATTTGAATAAAACATATATCTACCACCAAGCTTTCATATATACGACACAAGTGGTTATAAAATCGCTCACAACAAAGATAAAACAGTAATAAATATAACCGCATAGAGAAAAAATAAATTTTTTGATTGACTTGTGGTGTAAAATTTCACATATTGATGAATAGTAAGTATACGTATAAATTAAATTACGCTATATAATTATTATTTGTATTATATATATATTCGTTGATGTATAATATATGAAGTAAGTCGTGTATTTTATATACATATTGGATTTTATACAAAATTTCTAGAAAATAGTTATAAGTATAACATGTATATTATTATTATTATCATTATCATTCAATTTTATCCTAATTAATTTTTATAGATATCAACAACACACGCAAATATTGTACATGTTTCGTGGGGATCTATTTGCAATCGTTCCAGGTATCTACAACAGCACATCCAGGCTCTTTAACCGTTACGCTATCTTTTCGCTTCATAGATAAATATATATGAAACTTTATTTTTGTTATATATATATATATATATTATATATATATATATATATATATATATATATGTGTGTGTGTGTGTGTATTGTGTGTGTGTGTGTGCTTGTGTGTTTATATATACATATTTTTGCTTTTCATTTGTGTGTATATGACTGTGCGTGTATGTGTGTACGTGCATGTATAGTCATCATAAGTCATCATTTTTTATGATGGTATCCTTCTTACAATGAGTTATAATACAAAATCTCAAGCTTAAAGAGATCACGACGAAATGACGAGAATGATATATAGTAACAATGTAACAATGTAACAATGTTACCGATTTGAAACACGATGACATTGTTGCCACTATCGAATTGTTGTAAGCGTAATTCCACACTAACACACACGTACATACACACAAACCAACACACACACACAAACCAACACACACACACATACAAACAAACACACACACACACTTACATACATACACACAAACAGACATGAAGAGTACCGTGTATCATTGTTTAGCTGCTGTTTAGAACTACATGATGAAAGTGAACAGGTATAGTTAAAAGCAACTAGGGCCACTAGGAAGATATGCTGTTGTGTACTATTAAATACATTACGTTTTAATTGCGGAATACAAGCAAAATCTTTTTTAATATACGCTATATTTTTTAGTTTTAGCAAGCTTTTACGATAATTTGGTGTCAGTTAGGGAAGAGGGAATAAAGTGACTTTTACAAAGGCACCGTAGTTTTACAAAGCCAGCCGAGCAGAAGATGAGTTACCAAAACTTAACTGTTTGTACTGACTATAGTTTATGTTTTTTTTTTAAATATCTATTCATTATTAATTTTGAATTTCAAATTAAGAGTGCGTGTGTGCGTGTGTGTGCGTGTATGATAGTTACCTATTAACTTTCACTTTGTATTATCATGACAATAGCTTTTTCATTAGTTTATTTTACGTTTTCAATCAGTTAATTGGGTAAATTTTATATTGGGTTTTAACTATCCTGTAGAATTTGCCGATATTTTATGACGGAGACAAGCATGGAAGACAGCAGCCTGCGTGAGTAAAACATCTTTAAAGTTTTTTAAACATAAAAATTTGTTCGTTTGTTTGTTTGTATGTATGTGTGTATGTATGTATGTGTGTTTCTATGTGTGTATATATATATAAATGCGTGTACGTGTGTTGTTTGCATGTGCTTATATGTGTATTTGTGAGTGTGTATGTTTGTTTGTTTGTTTGTTTGTGTGTGTGTGTGTGTGTATGTTTGTTTGTGTTTATGTGTGTGTGTGTTTTAAACGACAGTTTTAAATTTTAAAAGATGGTACGTAAATGGACATCGAGATGAAGCCGAAAATTACATAACAGAAGCCGATAGAAAGGGTCATGGAAATTTTTGCATTAGGCTGGCCAAGGAAACCCCATATGCCCTTACTTCCTACATCAAGTTAGGGGGTAGAAAAGGGGGGTAGAAATTGGGGGTAGAATAGGGGTGGAGACACTTGTCTTAAAAATATTTTAACTTTTAATAACCTATAAGGGAGAATATTGTTTAAAAGAAATATTTATAAAATAATATTTATAAAATAATATTTATAAAATATGTAATTTATTAATAAATTTTTTATTTATCTTATTATAATTATAATTATTATTATCAATTACTTACTATTAAAAACCATCACCCTTTTACAGTAAAACGTTTCAACACTTTTCCATATTGTCTTCGCCCCTGGGCTACAAGTTAAAAGTTACTCAAGACGTAAATACATTAACATTTATTAAGCGTTATTATAATTTATTATAATTCCGTCTTAACATTTATTAGGCGTTTGAAAGTTGACACACAGCCCAACATTTTTAAATTGATAAAATTGGCTGATAATAAATTACACTCACAAGTACTCTCTCTCACACACATACGCACACACACACACATACACACAAACAGGCAAACAAACAGACACACACTCACACACACAGACAGAATACACACGCACAGACGCAACACGCACAGACGAAAACATACACACACAAAATAACCGAAATATTTTAAAGCCTCCATGGGTTAGCTGCCTACACAAAATCGTCAGATACTACGAAAACTGCTGCCTCCAAGCCAAGCCAATTACACAAAAGCTCCGCTCCTCAGACCCAACATCACCAACCATAGATATGACAAACAGGCCAGTCCCTCCAATATCACCCCCTGTGGCATCTCCAAGAGAGAATAAACATTTTATTGATAGGCCGCCCTCTTCTAAAGATGAAATTTTGGTAAGACCAAAACCAACCTTACCCTTCACCAAGGTGACTACCGCGACAAAGACGTCACCGATGAATCCTCTTTACATGAATACCGATGGTACGATTTTGGTTGAAGACGATTTAACTATATTTGTTGGGAGTTATAATTTTGAATATTTAAATAAAAATGGTTATGAAAATAAGTGAAATACTTGAAAGTTTTGAGATGTTATATTTTATAAACTTTTAATTGAAATACCCAGATGTCAGACCAGAACCGGCTAATGACGGTAATAGAATGTCCGTCTGTTTGTTTGTGTTTGTGTATGTATGTATATATATATATATATGTGTGTGTGTGTGTGTGTGTGTGTGTGTGTGTGTGTGTGTGTGTGTGTGTGTGTGTGTGTGTGTGTGTGTACGTGGATCCGTTTGTGAACATTTCAGTAACAGTAAAATCAATCAATAAAAATAATATTTTCTAGATTATGTAGAACCAGACGCATGGAAAATCTGTAAGTACAGTTGTAATAATAACAAAAAAATTAATAATAATAATAATAATAATGATAATAATAATAATAATAATAACAATAATAATATTTTTATGATAAATACACATAATCCTTGTTATTTTATGAAGCTGGTGGCAACTCCAACGCTCTCAGAAGGTCGATATCAACCGTAACGTCCTCTGTTTCGTCTCGAAATGGTTACTAAAATTTGTAAAACTAATAATAATAATTATTATTATTATTAATTATTTTTTATAATTAATTTAATTTTTCTGAAAAAAACGCATACATATCACAGCGTACGTGAGTACGCTAACTCATTGATAACTGCTACAGCACTACCAGACACCTAAGTAATAATAATAATAATAACAATAAAATAATAATAATTATTATAATTATTGTTATAACTATAATTTTTTTCATTAAAGGCGGAGAATTCGAAGCCCGTTATATAGATATGAATAAAGGTTTGTGTAGTTATTAATTGGATACGACGTTTCAGAATTTTATGACATTTTTTTCCCAAAAAATTTTTCACACCTCAGGAAGTCGAAACTACAATAAGATGAAGCACGGATCGTACGTCAATTTAGGATAAAAACAACGACAACATCAACACCAAATGAACAAACAAATACAAACAAAAACAAACAAACAAATAAACACAAACAACAATACAAACAACGCATACAAACAACGCATACAAACAACACATACAACACACATCAACGTTTTAACAGTAAAAAAAACTGCATGACTATAACATTGCTAAAACCGCGAGAATGATCGAATTGCGCTATATCATTTGTTATTCAATTATTGTATCTTTGTAATCTTTGGTTTGTAAGCCATAGAGTGTATAGAAATTTTGTATCTTTGTAAAATCGGACTATAATTATGCACCTGATTAGAGAAGTATACAAGTCAGGGTTTCGAGCAGAAAAAACAAAGTCCTAAATGTAGTTTATTGTCTCTATCACTATTGCTATTAATAAGTCTTGAACCTACGGAATAGCGAAGGCTTGACTGGCTTGGAAAGTATAGAGATCTTTTGAAGTTATAAAATCGGTGCTGGTAGTCAATACGAGGGTCAAGGGTTGCAATAATGTATTTTTATCAACTACGAATTTTAAAAAGTTCAATAAACAAATAAATGAGTGAATGAACACATAGCTAAATTATTATTAAAATAAATTAATGATAATTAATATGTTACTTTGGGCAATAAAATTGTTTAAATCTTTTTATAAGTGTTTCATAAAAATTTACGATTTCTCTCTCTCTTTTTTATCTCTCTCTCTCTTCTTTCTCTCTTCTTCTATACAATTCCTCCTTTCTTAAATCTCTCTCTATCTTACTCTCAATTTCTCTCTCTCTCAAACCCTCTCTCTCTCTCTCTCTCTCTCTCCTCTCTCTCTCTCTTACACTTTCTTTCCATCTTAAAAACAACAAACAAATGATAACTTATAATAAAATGAACATTGATAACATATTTTATAATAGAAAATAAAAGTCGATAAGAAATATGAGAACCTCAACAACGGAAGATCTTTACCGATTTAAAAGCGAGTCGCTAAATAAATATGACGTAATCATCGACGAAGAGAACAATAATAATAATAATAATAATAATAATTATTATTATTATTATTGTTATATTATAATAGTTATTATTAAAAGAAGTAGTAAAGTTATCATTATTATTATTATTATTAACATAAACATCGATATCTGTAACACTACGGTTAATTTGGTGCAAAGGTTTCATTACACTGACATAAGTTTATACTTTTTAATATGAAATAATAAAGATGTATGAATAGATAAAAGAGAGAGAGAGAGAGAGAGAGAGAGAGAGAGAGAGAAATATTGAGTGAAAAGAGAGAAAGAGAGAGAAACTGAATGATATATATAAATAAATAGGACATTAATATTATATGATATAAACTTGAAATTGATGTTTTATATATAATACATGGTAGTAACCAAACAATAACAGTGGTGTGTGTGTGTGTCTGTACGATATGCGTGTGTGTGTGTGTGTGTGTGTGTGTGTTAATAAATAAATTAATAAAGGAAACAGAAGCGTACGTAAAACAAATACATCACAATCATTTTGATCTGATAAAAATTTTCCTAAAGATCAAAGAAATCGGATGGAGGGTGTGGAGGGTGCGAAAAAGTGTTAACAAACGAATGAATGAAAGGTTAAACAATTAAAATAAACCACGTTTAACTAATAAACATAAATAAACATAATTTATGTATACATATCTTCATGTATACAAACTGCTTCCAGTTCATATGTATTTATAAATAACATCAATCACATACTAAGACATACTACGACATGTTAGAACATAACAATACATGTAATATATATATATATATATATATATATATATATATATATATATCATTTCCTATGTATTTTGATAGATGTTATACCATTATCCAACGTATATATATATATATATATATATATATATATATATATATATATATATATATGTATGTATGTATATGTATATAATTTTTATGAGCCCAACAAAATTAGGCCGTCTAAATCATTGTAACAGTTTTTAAATACTATAATTAACATATTTTATTTTTTTCGGTTCCTTTTCTTTTTTTCTGCTTTTTTCTTCTAAAAACCTGAAAAATTGAATTAGAGTTTGATGTTGGTGATGAATTTCAATGAAATTTAAAAGTTGCACGCGTGTTATAAATTTCGAAAGTTTATAAATCAGTGTGTATGTGTGTGTTTGTGTGTGTGTGAGTGCGTGTGTGTGTGAGTCTATGTGTGAGTCTATGTGTGTGTGTGTGTGTGTGTGTGTGTGTGTGTGTGTGTGTGTGGTGTGTGTGTGTGTGTGTGTGTGTGTGTGTGTGTGTGTGTGTGTGTGTGTGAGTGTGCATATAAACACATATACACACTATCACAAAACCCACCTTTACCCTTGTACTCTGAAGCATGCAATCTTAATTCAAGCCAGCCAACAGATGAATGAATGAATCAACCAGCAAAAAAAATCAACTATTCGAGTCATTCATATCAACCAGCCAACAAAATCAATCGAATCAACTTGTTAACAATTCAACAACCCAATCAATCAATTCAACAACCCAACTAATCAATCAATCTAACAACCCAACTAATCAATCAATCAAACAATAAACCGACAAATCGATCGACAATGACAACTAACCGACCAACCAACTAACCAGCCAGTCAACAAGCCAGCCAATCAACCAACCAATCAACCAACCAACCAGCCAACTAGCCAACAGACCAATCAACCAACCAACCAGCCAACCAACCAGCCAACTAGCCATCAAACCAACAAGCCAACCAACCAACCAACCAACTAAACAACAAACCAACCAACCAGCCAGCCAACCAACCAGCCAGCCAGCCAACCAACCTAACGAGTCATCAGTTAGCTTGTCATATCTACGTACGTCAGGGAAACGGAGCAAATGGCATTGGAACATCTGAGATTGTGAAAAAAAGAAGACATTTTTAATCATTCTAAAATTTTATTAATTATTATTTTATTACTTTTAAATAATACATTTAGTTTCTTTTTTTTTATTATAAAACAGTTAAATGTCTTCCAGCTCAAATACAACCAGACAAATTCACACATACAAAACGCAAACACAAACAAGAGTAACAACAATTATAATAATAATAACATTCGTCAAGGTTTATTCATTCGTTCATTCAATCATTTATTCATTCAATCATTCATTCACTCATTCATTCATTCGTTCATTCGTTCATTCATTCCTTTGTATAAAGTTGTATGCGTCAAATCCTTTGTTATAATATTGCGGCTGCCAAAAATGTCATTATTATTATTATTATTTATTCTTATTATTCTTATTATTATTTGTAATTACAATTATTTGTTATTATTATTATTATTATTATTACTACTACTACTACTACTACTATGTTTTCAACGATTAGGCGTGAACTACGTCAATAGCTGTAGTAAACACATGGCGCTACAACCGCTAACTTACACGCACACACACGCACACATACACACGCACACATACATACATACATACATACATACATACATACATACATACATACATACATACATACATACATACATACATACATACATACATACATACGTACATACATACATAAATAAATGAATGAAAAAATGAATGAATAAATGAATGAACGGACAAACAAACAAACAAATGTGTGAATATAATACGGACAACGAAAGAATTAAAAAAACGAATGTATAGACATAATCATCATCATCATTACCACCACCACCATCATCATCATTACCACCACCATCATCATCCTTTTTACCACCACCATCATCATCATCATCACCTTTTACTCACCCCAGTCTGGTATGACAATAGGCCAGTCACCGAGGTGGTATATGGTTGAGGTCGTCAGTTTGTTGGATGACATTCTACTTCCGGTTAAACTAAAAACGCAATGATGACAAAGATGATTATCGCGATGCTGATGATGGCAAAAGGATGACAAATTATCCTAATCATAATTATAAAATAAAAACGATGACAAATTATCCTAATCCTGATTATATAATAATAATAACCATAATTATAACCATAATTTATTTTATTTCCACTCTTTTATTTGCAAATTTTAATAATTAAATATCTCAAAAGTAATTTAAGGACTAACTTTCCTAATTAATTCCTAAAGATCTTTGCGGTGAAAACAATTATGCCCGATCAAACTGTTCAAATGAAAATTTTATAAGTATTTTAGACGCTTCGGTTATGGTAGTCGTAGTAGTATAGAAAATTAAGGTACTCCTACCATTACTACTCTTACTACTACTTACTACTTCTACTACTACTACTACTACTTACTACTTCTACTACTACTACTATTACTACTACTACTACTACTACTACTGCTGCTGCTGCTGCTGCTACTACTACTACTACTACTACTACTACTACTACTACTACTACTACTACTACTACTACTACTACTACTACTATTAGTTCTTTCTTTAAGAATACACACACACACACACATTGCGTATGTGATATGCGGGGATCTGCTTGCATTCGAATCCAGTCACTGCAGCAGCAGAGCCTGGCGCTTTAATCATTTACACCACCTCGCCACCATAAGTAAAAGTTCAAGTGTGTAAAACCAAAATGTATTATTTTAGATAGTATTATACTTATAGAAAAAAATCTTTAACGAAAGAAATAAAAAAACACATAAAATGCATTTTTATTCTGGGTATAGCAATGTTGAAGTAGTGAAACACATTTGAAAAGTTATATTTATGCAAATAATACAAGCAATTCATTTAAAATTAAAAATACTAAACTAAAATTTATTTCAAAAATTAAAAAAAAAATGATCAAACCAAACGAACCTGAAAAGCGAGCTGTTGCAATAGGGACGGTTGCAAGTTGCAATTAGACGGAAATTGTTGCTAAATAGACCATATCTGTTGAGAGCCCTTTATATACTCGAAATAGGTTGACATATATATATCTATATATATATATATATATATATATATATATATATATATATATATATATATATATATATATATATATATGATCTTTAAGATAAAATATGATATCATCTTTTAAGATAAGATATGACATCATCTTTTATATCTCTTTAAGAACAATATTATTGATCGATTTCATCAACATGTTGTGTTGTTGTTTTTATTATTAGGATAATTTGTCATCGTTCTGTCATCATCAGCATCGCGATAATCATCTTTGTCATCATTGCGGCCAAGACATGCTCACTGGATATTATTCCGACGCATATACTGAAAAAATATATTGATTTATTTTTGACCTTCATTACTAGTTTTGTAAATTTAAGTTTAAAATCTGGTACTCTGCCTCCTATTGCCTGTATATTTGTTGGATAAACTTAAAAAGAGATCTGTGGTTTCTGAAAACATCAACTTGAGAAGTGATTGTTCAAATCTGACGATGGTTAATAATGCTCTGTTATGTACAGAGGCAAGAAACATTGGTGTGTTTGATCCAAGGGTCTGGGATGTACTTCATTTTGGATCATTGCGAATGCTGGGATTAACCATTGAAGTTTTCAGAAAGAACTTGAAGACATATTTATATTCAAAATGATTAACTATTGACACTTTTAGAAATATTGTAGAGACATATTTTCAATTTAATTTCCTTTTTTTTCAACGTCTATCTCAGTTATTTTTGTCTTCGTTCGT